TTCTCAGAGGAGACTAAGAGTCTGGTTCTACAAAGCTATTCTGGATTAAGAAATGGCATGCATTTTTCTCAATAAGAAAAGTCTGTCTGGGGTCTTGAGTGGGAGGGATGAGATTTCATACTTGGGCTTTGAAGAAAACAACTTTTCATATCAATTCTAGAATTACCTCCTTGATATAAGGCTTTGACCAGCGCTCCCACATATCAGGTGGTAGTTGTCCACCCCACGAATCAAATATTTGTATGCAATGAGCCCCAGACTCCACTTGAAAAATGATGTAATCCGAAATGGCTTGAGTTAAATGTGAGAGAAGAGATTTTAATATATGTGGTGCTTTATGGCACATAGTCTTTATGGTTGTATATGTTCTAGTTGTTCCCCCTTCTACTATATATGTGGCAATTGTCCAAGGTGCTCCAACAAATCCCAGAACTGCAGCACGGCCCTCAACCTGCAAAGTGTAACAAGTTAGAGAAAATCTGGAAGAAGATTAGGTAATTTATGCACACAAAAATGCTAGTAGTGTCAGTGACATCTCAATGCATATAATGGAAAAAATGAGATCACCTCTTGCCGCAAAATCTTAAGGGATTCACCAACAAAATGAAGCTTTTCCAAGTCAATCGGATGCAATGCCTTCAAGCACTCCTCTGAAAAAATAGGATTCTGAATAACAGGGCCTCTGACTTCCTCTATGTCAAATGGGACCCCAAATGCAGGAAGTGGTGTAAGTATGTCAGAGAAAATTATTACTCCATCAGGATGGAAGGCTTCCCAAGGCTGCAAAGAAATTTTCACAATGAGATCAGTTGTCTCCGACCTTTGTCTGAAGGATGGGTACTTCTCTGCAAGCTTTCTGTAAACAGCCATATACCTTCCTGCCTGGCGCATCATCCATGCTGGAGGCCGACTTATGGGTTCTCCTCTAGCAGCCTTAACTAACAGTGGGTCTGAATACCATATGAACAACAATAGAGAGATTAAATAACCGGCTTAGAGTCATAGGCTTTTTACTGAACTTTTCTTCTAAATAAAAACATCCAAGACCATAAGATCAATTATCTTAGAATAAACCACAATACTTCAAAGTCATTAAGCCATAAAAAATGTGGCTTTCACAACTTGTAACAAGCACAAGACATTCAACCTGAGGACTTAGGAAATTCAGTGTTAAAGTTTGCAGCCAATTTTCATGTCTACAGAATGGCACCTTAGACAATTGAAACCTAACTAGAAAGACCAATGTTTAACATAAACCTAATTGATATCAACCTGCAAAACTTCATTCTCGTTCTACCTTTCACCCATGTGGATTTTCATTTTCCATAAACTCAACTACACTCTTGCTGTTGGATATTCAATTGTTCAATATAAGATTACTTGTATCATATGAACAATCTTCCTTGACAGTCGACAAAACAGAATGGTTCCAAGTGATCACATTTCATAGAACTCAGCTCCCTACTAAAGCATTCACTTCCAAATTATTCCTTATACATTGTCAAACTACACAACACAATTCACCAATTACCACAAAAGAGAGTCACTGTGGAGCTTTTCCTCACTAGATTCCTTCAATTTAAGAACAGAAAGAACAAACAAAGACACCCCCATTATCAGATTAACTTAAAAAAACGCAATTACAAAGGAAAAGAGAAATAAATCTTCATACATTAATTTGCGAGCATTACCAGTAGAAATAGTAGAGCAGGACACCGAAAATTTCCTGCAACTAAATCTCGTTTTTTTAGGAAAAGGCCCAACTGCTCCATGGAAGCTATCATTATCAGAGTAAAAACCCAATTGAAGGTTCAAGCTCCGGGATTTGAGTCCTAAGAAGCTGCACGCACTGCACAGAATAATTGGTTATGCAAAAACAGAATCAGGTTTCCATGTAAAGAATCAAACTTCGCTCGAAAAAAATTGTGGGTATTTTGAAATTGATACGAAAGTTACCTGGTTAGTGAAGAGATGCTCATTTTGTCAAGAGATTTTGATGGAGAAATGAAGTTCCCAGCTCTCTGCTCTCTTTTCTGTTTTGTTATCTCTCAGAATACGGGAAATGAGGTTTGACTCAAGATGGTAAGTTAAACTAAAGGCTGTGATTTTGCCACGTGTGATTTGTAGATAGCGGCATATCCCAACTAGATCAGAGGGGGATATATATTTCCAAATCTATGCAGGAGGGGGGTGGATTTCGGAATTTTGGGTTGGTATTTTAGATTTTTTTTTATTTTGATTATATAATAATAAGTAATTATCTTATATTTTTTATTTTATTTATATTTTATATAAGTTGAATTTAAAATCTTTTATTTTTAATAAAAAAAATTATCACT